AGATGTCCCCAAGAAGAGTCACGATCACCCTCAGTACCCTGGCCCCACAGATGTCCTCAAGAAGAGTCACCATCATCCTGGCCCTGTTGACCCCACCACACCCCATAGATATCGCCAAGAAAAGCCACCGTCATGCTGTCCCCAGAGAACCCATAGGTGTCCCCAAGAGTCACCATCATCCTGGACCCTTAGACCCCCTAGAGATCCTCAAGAAGAGCCACCATCGTCCCATCCCTGTTGACCCCACAGACCCCATGGATGTCTCTGAGGAGAGCCACCATCCTCCTGGCCCCACAGACAACCTCGGCCCCACGAACATCCTCAAGAAAAGCCGCTGTCACCCTGTCCCCATGATGTCCCCAAGAAGAGTCACCATCATCCTGGCCCTATTGACCCCACGGATGTCCCCAAGAAGAGACACCATTGTTCTGGCCCCACAGACCCCATAGATGTGCCCAATTAAAGACTCATCTGGCCCCACTCTTGGTGTTGCCATTGGGGGGGGGAGCTGGGACCTGGCGCGCTCGTAACACGGGGCAGGGGGGCGTCCAGGCAACAGACCCAGGGATCTGGGAGAGGGACCCTTTGCGAGGGGATCCCCGGGGTGTCCCCTCCCTGTCCCCGCAGGGCCCCGAGGTCAGCCCCAGAGATGGGGACAATGCTGCTTCCACCTTTAATAGGGACAGGATGGGGACATGGGGATGGAAACATAGGGACAGGGATATTGGGACATGGGGACAGGATGGGGACGAGGACATGGGGACACGGTGACAGTGACGCAAGGACAGGACGTCCCCTGGTGCTACGGCACCTCCCACACTTCTTCCGAGTGTCCCCAACCTGGAGAGGGGACAGGGTGAGGGACAGAGCCGGACACCAGGTCCCCCTGTGTCCCCAAAGTCCCCCATGACCCCCATGTCCCTGCCAGTCCCCATACCGTGGCTCCCACTGTCCTCAACATCCCTGGACTCATCCTGGCTCCCGATGTCCCCAAGGTTGGAGCTGGGTGACGCTGCCCCACTCTGGCTCTCACCCGAGCTCCTCAGCCACCCCTGGTGCAGGGGACGTCCCTGGGGACGCGTCCCCTGTCCCAGGGGATATTGGGATGGTCCTTGGGGACGTGTCTCTGGTCCCTGGGGACGTGTCTCAACTCCTTGGGGACGCATCTCTGGTCCTTGGGGACGTGTCCCCGGTCCTTGGGGTGATGTCTCTGGTCCTTGGGGATGTGTCCCAACTCCATGGGGACGTGTCTCTGGCTCTTGGGGACATGTCCTTGGTCCTTGGGGATGTTGAGCTGGTCCATGGGGCCACCTCCCTGGTCCTTGGGGACGTGTCCCCAGTCCCTGGGGCCATGTCCCTGGTCCTTGGGGACGTCCCCCTGGTCCTTGGCGACGTTCCCCCAGTCCTTGGCGCCATGTCCCTGGTCCTTGGGGACGTCCCCCTGGTCCTTGGGGACGTGTCCCCAGTCCTTGGGGCCACATCCCTGGTCCGTGGGGACGTCGGACTGGACCTTGGGGAC